TAAAGTCCCTCTCTCCATGCCATCAATACACCAATTCTCTTAACCCCTCCCCACCCAACACTAATAGCACCTTTTCTCAGGCAGGCCAACAAAACAGAGTATTTTTGGTGCTTCTGAGGCCAGCCACTGGGGAGATAGGAGTAGTCAAAAACTGGTTAAAAATACAAAAATTAGAAGCAGACAAAATTCCCCAACCTCCAAAATGTTTAAAACCCACCCAGGTCTTTCCCAAATTCCCCAGAAAGCTTCCAGCTCAAAAAGAGATGCTACAGGCARTATTTCAAAGGCTACTTTCAGTGTTTACTGTGAAGAATCTTTTGATGCTCCCGATTAATCTTCCTAAGGGTTAACATACCAAAACAGGAAAGAGGGGGGGAAAAGGCACAAAAGCTGTGTAACTCCTTTCTGAGGTATGACAAACTCTCTCTGCATCTTATTCCAAAGTATGAGATGTGCAATTTCCATTCTTATGCTCAGTAAAAATGACATTAAAAAGTACTAACCCTGGGAACTGCATGATTATTCGTTTATCAGATCAACATCAGCAAAACTGTCCTTTTATGTGCTGCTTACTTTCAAAAAAAACCCCTACCACGCATATTTCAGTTCTCCCTCTCCACACCCCACACCCTTCTGCTGCTGTCCAGCTGGAACACATCAAGGGTCTAGAAGCCAAGTCAAAYGTTGACCCCACCCTCCTCCATCCATTTTAAGGCACCTTCAAAGCCAGTACACTGATCTAGTTCAGCTTAGCCAACAACGCCAGCAAATCTGTTATTTAAGACTTTAGTGCTGGGTTTTTATAACTGCCCATTAATACAAGCTTTGATGTATAGTCAAAAAATCCAGCTGTAATGAGTTTCATCAGACTGTAGTAACCTTTCCTTAGAAGGTCTTTATTACCATACCTTCATAATCTTTGGGCCCAATACTTTTATAGTATCATTCTTACTGAACCTCCTTAAAAACAACTCAGCAAYACTTAACACTTCTCCTTCCCCCAAATTAAAACAAAGAGCCAGAAATAGGKTTTTTTTTTTAGGACACTTTTGCACCTACATTTTTAATCACATTTTGCTGTTAAGAGCAGCTGTGTGAACTGTAAGACAAACCAATTTTCATGACAAAGTCCTTCAGACAAGAAACAAAAGGATTTTGTAAAAGGACAAACAACTTACTTTGTTGCTCCCCTTTGCAGGATGCAGCATGGAAGAAAGAGGGGGGGAAAAGAAATATTAGTTACTTTTATTTTACATGCATTCAGCCTAACTTGTACAGTCTGGAAACGGCTCAAACCAAATGAGGAACTGACTCAGGGAACATTCACTGAATCCTGAAGTTAGACAGCTTCCAGGGGAACACAGGGCATTCGCAAAGGACTTCAAATGTTCAGCAAAGCTGTTTTCCTCACTACACAAACATTCTGGTCCCACTTTCGCTTCCTTCAGTGTAAATCAGGAGCAGCTCCTGGGAAGTTGGTGGACACAAATACAAGGGAGAAGAAAATGAGGCCTGAAGTGATCTAGGGATGGGATGGCAGCCAGAGGGATTTTCGTGTGTTGGTAACACTGAACTTCCAGTACGCAAAGCAACCCACTAAACATGTCTGCTGAGCCTTTCATGCCAGCCACTCCCTACAACTTGCCAGTGAATGGAAAGTTTCAAGATCCAGAGCTTTTTAAAAAGCAAATATTGAACTTGTAGATTAGTAATAAAAATAAGGAGGAGATGGCTCTGGGGGGCATGGGGGGAGAAGGAATGGGTGGTGCTAGCAAGGTAAAATGTGCAGAGCAAGTTACGACAAACATCTGTGCTATTATTTTGGTTTAATTGTGAGTTTTGCCATGAGCTGGCATGAACAGTGTATATTATACAGTGGGAAGCCAGCCAAAATAAACATCAGCCTACAGTTGAGAAATACAGTCTGGAAAGGTTAGTCACAAAGTTGTAGTCATTTTTTAACAAAAAAGGAGGGGTTTGGATGCGTCGGTCCAGAAAGCCAGCAGTACAGTCAGCTGGTAAATGGATATCCCATTTCAAAGTGAATTGGCCACAGTATGATTTATATCAAGCGAGCTGACTTGCATATGGGTTGGAAAAATAAAAACACTGATTCATTGCTATCCGGGTGGCTGTCAAAGCCCACGACCTGACAAAAGCAAATCGATTGCGGGAAGGAGGTGACTTGGCAAACTGCAAAGAATTCAGGGGTTCATAGAGCAACGATGAGGGCTGATTAGAGAATGTTCATGGGACAGTGAATATGTGAACATGTTCATTCTGTGTATCCCCATGTACAGAGGGCCAGGGAAGGYGAGCAAAATGAAACAAGGAAATGGAGGAAGGGGGTGATATATGGCCTTTAAAACGTTAATGAGATTTGCTTAGGCAAAAAGAAAAATTGTAAATCTAGAATCTTGGACACAGCTTACAGGATTAAATTAGCAGCAGAAACTCCACGTTAGCAGCAGCAAGTACTGAGCCCCATTACCACTGTAATTAAACAAGTTTATGTATCAACAGAAAAATGAATATTCTTAGTTGAGAGATGCACCCTTGGTGAGAATTCAGAACAGATCTCTAATTCACKGACAAATTCCTCCTTTTCCTGCCACTGCAGAAGGCACCCAGCTGGGGCAATGGCYGTGGGTGTGACCCCAGTGTCCCTGTGATGATGAGCAGAGCTGCCCATGAAGGCACCGGGCTGTGCTTTCCCGTTCGTGGTTCGCACACGCTGCAGCAGCTGCAGGGAGCACCAGCCCACGCTGCAGTGCTCCAGCTCCACAGCACTGTTCATCCATTTTTCATTTCTAAGCAGCAATTTTTCTGCTGCTGCTGCCAAAGCCCTGGATATTCAGAGTTCCCAGCTGTGCCTCACACATGAAAGGGAGCGAGAAGSTCTGTCTGAGAAGGGGCTAAAGCACCTCTGTGTCTTTTTAGCTGGGGGAGGCACTGAAGGAAACTCAAGTTGCTGCCATTTCCTGGCAGTCCCTCCTACTTAAAGATAAGGTTTCTGAATCTTTGAAGGAAAATTAGAGACTGGGGGGAACTCTCTAAAACTGTTTTATATTGTCAGAGGAAGGTGCGAAACTGAGGAGCATGCACAGGATTTTAATGAAATGCTCATTTTATCTGGGATCCACTGGATCTTCTAAGGTACCTGGGGCCTTGGAGATTTTGCTTTGCAAAATTAAAAACTCTTAAAACAGACTCACAGTCCACATTTGGGCCTCTAGTTGTGTAGAAATAAAGTTYTGAAAGACTAGAGTAGCACTGAGCATCTTTCCTGAACAGCTTGATAAACTACTAGGCAATTTTCAAACTACAGGCATTTGGAACAATAATATTTACTCTTTTTATAATGTAAAGATAATTCCAGCTCAAAGAACTGTATTTGAAGTCCCTTCTACTTCTTTCAAGGAAGCCTCTCATCTTGCATCTAAGACTCCTTTGACAGACCAACTTTAAACAAAACCAAGAATTCTTTGTAAACATATTTTGAATACCAAGTATTTTTAGGGGGAAGGGAGAGACAGGAAGACAGAAGAGAAGTTCAGAAATTCTACTAGTCTGTCTTGTTAAGGCTAAAGTAATAGATATACCAATATGATAAAAACATCACAGAATACAAGATTAAACTAGCAGCAATAGGCTTTTATGACATCATCCTTAAAACCTAAGTGATAAAAAACCAGAGCAATAGAGTATATTGTGTCTAGTAATTAATTAGGTAACMTCTCATAACAAATCCTTGTTAAGTAACTTCTGATGGTCTTACGTAGGACTGGATCTACTGGAAAAGGTAGAATGAAAAAGGTGCCCAGTGTTGTTTTTTACTTTTTAAAGGTAAAGTCTCAAATACCTGTTAAGTCTCCTGCTAAATGAATATTTGCACTATCCTCTAAAAAAAACATCATCATTATCACCATAACTGTTTATTTCTACAACAATTGGAGAATCCTTCTACAACAACTGGAGAATCCAGCAGCTCAAGGTTTTTTTATTTATCTTTTGATGGTAGCCTTAAAACCATATGGAGAGAGGAAGCTGAGCTTGTTTGCATGAATAGCTCCTGAAGAAGACGCAGACAGAATTGTACTGAAAGCCACGTGGGCATCACAAGTGTAAGGAAAGAGAAAATGAAGAGAGAAGACAGCACAAGACCTTGGACTCAAGGAACCTGGTCTTCAAAAACAATCAATAAGAAGAACAAATTCATCAGAATCAAAGCATCATTTCTCAGAGTAGATCTTCAGCTGAAGGAATCCAGCAAACTGCAGGAAAGTGAGCTGTGCATTACAGAAATTTACAGAAGCACAAATGCCAGGTATTTTTGTTAGTCATCCTTCTCTTTGGATACACCTCCTCAAACCTTTACTTGATGTAAAATATCAAGATATCTAGGTCAAAAAAAATATTAAATAGTAGCTGGACATATTATGTTTCCCAACTTTCTGTCATTTCTAGCAAATTATTACAGGCTTTTTTATTGTATCCTGTTCAATTTGCTCCACATGATGATTAGCTGAGTAAAACTGCCTTTGGAAAGGTTTAGCATGTGTTTCATACACAAAAAATCATGCAGAGAATCAGTAAAATAAATATACATGATTGCCTGGAATGCTTCTGTCAGTTCTGTAATACAGAGCTTGAGGGAATAAACTCTTCAAAGCACATCTTTACCTTARAAAACATTAATAGAAACAACGAAGCTCAGGAAACCCCAAATTGCTCAATGCTTTTACTACACGGATCCAATGAAAAACATGTTGGAAGCTTTGGTTTGTGGTCGGTTGTTTTTTTTTTTATTGAGGTTTGACGCACAAATTGGTCTTAAAATATTTCATTATGAATATTTCGAAATTACCACAGACTCGTACAATGAAAAGGCAGCTCTTTCTGGAGATATSTGCAGACACTGTGTTTTCCCAAATGATAATGACTTTTTTTCTGACTCAAACAGAGTAGCTACTGGCAAACTAGGGAGCTGTTGAACTTACTGAGGATTTATCAGGATAGACACCGGCTCGGAGCAGAGATGCCTTCCAGCTATCCACCTCCTCTTGGGAGTCACAGGCTAGCTCAAGGAAACGGTAATCCTTGTAAACATTCCTAGAACAAAGAGCACCACATTGTAAAACTAGCATTTTACTACTCTGTATCATGCACACAGCATTTGAAATTAAAAATCCTTTGGGATCAGAAATTACTTGGTAATTGTTTTKGACAACAGATTTTATGGGACAGGTGCTTGTTTAATAATTACATGGAGTACTTAAAAATATCTTAGAATGCTMCAGCACAGCTCTGGAAACAATAATCATCTAAAAGCACCATGAAACTACTTAAAATCAATTTTCCTGCTTTTKCTAAAACAGAGCACTTTTAGGAAAAAAARGACGCTGTGATGCAGAGGACAAACACATAAGACATGCCAAAATAACAGCATGGCCTGTGACAGATTGTTGCTGCAACCAATAAATACCAAAATAATTACTGATGCAACTTCTTCCCATGGTAGTCCTTTCAGTGCATTATATACCTTTTTTAGTTTTTGGACATCATCAAAAAAAAAAGAAGAAAAGAGTAAAAAAGTAAAAGAGGAAAAACCCAGCAATGTTAACCAGGTATTTTTAAAGAAACTAAACAAACCTTTGATKTCTGTAATCACAGTAAGAAAATGGAGACATGGTTAAATAAAACCTCTTTCAGTTCACATAATGAGAGAAATACAGGGAATCACTTAATGGAAGAAAAGAGGAGGAAAAACAYGTCTGTAGGAAGGTGGCACTTGCAAATTCTTCAATAAACAGAACAGATTTTCCCCTTACGGTTTAGCCATTAGTTTCTGAATTCAAATCCTGTACACAGACCAGATCACCATAAATTTGTCAGCCAACAGTCTTTTTAGGAAAGGCCAYGAGCTGAGCTGAAAAAGGTTAGGAAACCACATTTTGTTAGATCTTAACAGTTGCACAACAATCAATCTTCCATCCCAAGCAGACTGTTTTCTTCCCTTAGCAAGCTATGAAGGAGGGGGTTGATGGACATTGCTTCACTCTTAAAGACAGCAATGACAAGGAATCCTTTGGTTTCATTATGCAGCTACAGAGGTCATTTCTACCACTTATTTTGAGAGGAAATAAATACAAAAAGTGAAATACACTGTAGAACCAGGAAATAAAGCTATTATTGTCACTGCCTAGACAAATTTTTTTAGCATTCAGGGACTGATGGGATTTCACCCCCACACTGCTGGAACACAACGGACTTGATGTAATTCCCACTCACAGAGGTAATTCTCTCTTACCAACAATGTCACCAGGCAGCTCATAGCCTTGCCTTTTAGGGGAACTCTCAGGAAATAAGTGAAAAAAGGTTAAAAAATGCAACTGAACCTGAGCATGAAGCAGCCATGACACCAAATCAATAAATTATCACCCACAAAACCACAGTACAGCAACCAGAGTGCACCCACCTCTGAAGAGCGAAACGAGGGGTTTTTTAAGCAAGCTCAAAGGTTGCWTTCAAAACTGCAAAGAATAAAGACATACCCAGATTTATTTCCTTACATTGGTGACTCAATTCTTACCAAATTCAAAGGCTAAATGTGAGCACTCAGCACTGGGCTTGCATGACTCCCTTTGAGAATCCAGATCGAAGGTGTCACCAGAGCATTTGCTTCCCACAGAAACCAGCCCTRAAGGTCACAAAGAGGCACTAAGGGGCCTGATCCTCCAGTTTAGCCAAAGCCACTGACAGGATGAACAACTGAAAGCTCCATGGATTTTTTTAATTGATTAAGAAATTTAAAATTAATCCATTTTTTTCCCCTGATTCCAAAAGTATTAATCCTACCTTAAGGAAAATAATAGCCTGGATGATCTTACCAGATGTTGTTATCTTCAACTGAGCAAAACACCTGAATTATATTTAATTTGCAATACTGTCGAATTCCAAGTCAGCATTTACTGAACAAAACAAATAATTCAATTAAAAAAAAAAAAAAAAAAAAAAAAAAAAAAAAAAAAAAAACGCAGAGAGAGAAGCATATTGAAATTGCCAGAGGGAAAAAAAAAGCTTTAATTTATTGTTAGGAGAAACTTTTACTGAGATAAGCTCTTCTGGCTAAGATAACGGAGCAGCTATAACTTTGAGGAAATAGGAAGCTGAAATGGTAAAAGGGTACTCTCAGAAAAGATGACTAAAAACAACAATAAAGCAAATAAAAGCTGTAAAACACAGTGATAGGGAAGTTCCAAAAACACTTATCTGCAAGAGCAAAACAACATGACACCAGCTTATGAAAACATTTTTGCAGGACTGTCATGTTATATATTAAACTTTTTGGCATTTTGTGGCTTGCTACAACCAGTGTAGCTGTATGAGCAGGGATTTCAGCCAACAGCTTTGAACACGTGGGAGCTGACAGTCCTGCATTCCTGTCCCTGTGTCAGAACTTTTCCTAGGTCTAGAGACACCTCACAGCCCAGCAGCTGTCTCCAGACCTCCAAGGCCCTTCTCCCTGTAGGATCCAAGAGCTCCATTTTAGTTTAGCTAATTCTACTCCACTGCCCAAGACACAGGCCATGAGAGGAGCTGAAGGATGCACACCCTGAGCAGAGCTCATAGGAATGTTATAGTAGGGCAGGTAAGGGGATGCTGGCCTCCCTAACTGGCTTCCTCGCTACTAGACTTCCCCTGCCTTTCTTTCTTCCAGAAACCATAGGAACTTAAAAAAAAAAAAAAAAAAAAAAAAAAAAAAAAAGCCAAAGTAACTTCTGAAAAGAGTGTGGTTTTTTTTCTGTTACCAGTGGAATCTTACAAAAACACATTAATGTGTTTTACTCATTAGGAATCCACTGGCATCTCATGAAAGCTGTAAAAACGTTCTTGAAAACAATTCAGATYTTCTGTTTTCTTCTCTCTTTCACTTCTTAAAATTGCTGAAGACATCAGCACAGAAACAGTTACTACTCAAGCCTCACCTACCTACTCCATATGGAATACTGTGAAGTCATGTTCTCACCGTCATCTCTATGGCAGCTAAATGGGATGTTAGACATCAAAGACAATGACAGAATACAGGATACCAGAAAGATGAACTCTCAGCAGTACAAATCTTGTTGATGTTCAGGCATCTGTAAATCTAAGAGACTGTACAAACAGTCAGATACAAAACAGATACAATAAATGGGAACATGCCTAGAGGTACCACTTGCAAGTGGTATTTCCCTTAAGTATTTAACATTTCTTAAATGTGAACACATAAATGAGGAAACTGCCAAGTTATATGCATATACCACATCTACCTACTCTACTTCTTCCTCTAAATCKCGTAATTGYAATTCTCTATCATCCATAATACRTGAAAATAAACTACAGTGGCATTACTGGAAATCAACATAATCAGTATTTTTTTTCCAGAGTGAAAAATACATAAGGCTATCATTTGTTATCTGCAGATTTTATTATACTCTAGATAAATAAACCTCAACTTGGAACTGCATTCCACTAAAATTAGAACATAATTGCTTAGGAACAAACAGACAATTGGACTAAAASCATAATTTCTTGTTCTGGAATGATTCCACCCTCTAGGCCAGGCCCACTACTCCAAAGTCCAGCAGCCCCCCAGCTGTGACCTTGCTTACCCTACAACTTCTTCACTTTTTCTTTACCTCGGTTTCCAGCAGACCTGACTCTTTTCCCCCATGTATTTCAGGGCCTTGTGCAGATAGGACCTTTACATTGTCCACAGGTGTTTCTTTAAGTCCTCCCATCACAAAAGAATCCTAACAGGACTGGATTAAGGTATTTGAAAGTGTCCAAGAGRAAACAGAGAAATGCCAGATAAGTCTGAAGACTGACCCAGCTGTGAGATATTGAGATTTCCCTTCCACCTTCCCTGGAGCCTGGGCTGTCAGCACTGCATACGGAAGGCTTGACTATAAACCAGCAGATCTTTAGAGTCCAGGACCAAGGAGTAAATAACACACWACTGAAAATCACCCAGAAAGAACACCACTTGCAACACCAGCGGGCTTCCCTCTATGGTGGTTTCAACCTAATGTGTGCATAWAATATTAATGCATATCCACATATTAACCATGATTGTAAAGAGCTTTTGGAYTGAGTTGGATCTGGATTTCTGCAGACAAAGATGTACTGGATATGCATGAAATTTATTTTTATAGAGGGAAAATACAAACCAAGATTAATTGAAAATGTATTTAGTCTTGCCAAAATGGGAGGACACAGAACAACCATTATACAGCAAGAATAGTAGTGACRTTTTTTTTAGAACTGGGCTTATAGGCTACTTTAATCCTCCAAAGAACACAAACCCACATTTATCTTCAGCAGCCACATTGACACAAGTGAAGCTACACACACACTGAAAGATAACTGAGTATCTTCTTTTGCAGTTATCTCAATTTTTTTTTTGTAAATATCTCGTCTCTATTAACATGGAAGCAAAATTGAAACAAACATTAGAAATCTAGAACCAAATGCAAATTGGCCCTATTTATTCAACGAAAAACACTAAAGATTCAATTCTTAGGTATTTCTTACTTGATTGAAAATTAAAATATACAGAGTATGGGTTTAATGAATAGCCATCTAAAATAAAAAAGGGTGAACGTAACAGAATCCAGATACTCTAACTAYGGGGAAAGATAATCTTGGATGAAACTGTATGTTCTCTACCTATTCARCCTGCAACTCCACTAGGCACACTCTGCTTATTCAAACTTAGTCTATGGTTTTAGACACCTGTAATTGCACAATGGCTGCTTKGAGCACATGCACTATTCTTTTTTCAAATAAGAAAGCTCTACCAGAAGCTCTGCAAATCATATATTCTGAAGAAACAAAAATGGCCATCTGCTCTGAGTTAACAGCAATGACTAACATTTTCTATCAAGGCGTACCATTTCAGATCACTCCAATGTGAATGCTAATTAAAATTAATTACACATGTCTCTGAAGATTTTTTTCTTAATATTCAGAAAAGCCAAAGAGACAATGTCTGAGACTGTCATGAAATAATAACACTAAAGGATTTTGCCACCTATCTCATGTGAGTGCTTTCCCTAAAGTATAAGGAT